TGGCTTGTAGGCGTAATGGTGCGTGGGTGAAATGTATATAGGAAAAGTTTCCTGACATACTCTTAATCCGAATTGACGTGACTAATTGCCCGTCACTTTTGTCACAATGATAGCTTTAAACTCTTACAGGAATATAACTAAGAGGCTTTACTGACTGACAGCGAACTCACGAGTGCTGAAGAGACCGAAGTTCGAGCAGGACCAGACGACAGAATAGTTCTCGTAGTCCGTACCCAGGACCCAGTACGGCGCGTCCACCAGCACTGCAACAATGGAATTGACCTTGGTAGTCATTGTTGCTGATTTAAAAACAGCTGCATACATAATCGCACTGCACAGAATCAGACATTTTCCTTTGAGTTTCTTAGAGTTTGTTCACATCCAAAAACGTTTTACGTAATACTATTCATGTTACGTAGTTAACTACGTTTGTACGATGCAAAGGCAAGTTCCACTGACAGCGGACGGACGGACAGTACTTCCACATTGAGCCATCATGCATTAAAAGTACTCGGCTTTGAAATATTTTATGTTTGGGCCCGAAGAATGAACATCTTGGGTTAAACTCATGTACGTTTCGATGTTGGCGCGGTGCAGGTAAGGATTCTGGAGAAACTAACTCCATGGAGCAGAGTTCCTCTTGAGAAGCTGAAAGTCACACAGCTAATCAAGATATTTCCCGCTTTTTATGGGGTCCGAAGGTTGATTACAGTGTCCACATGTCTAAATTCTGAGTCATATTAATCGAGTCCACGCCCCAAATCCAGTTTCCCCAAGATACACTTTAATATCATTCTTCCATCTACCCCTTGGTCTTTCGAGAGACTTCTTCCTTCCAGGCTTCCCAACCAAAATGTTGTATGCATCTCTCATCCTCCGTATTCTTATCTCATACTTATTGATTCGATCACCTTGATAGTATCTGAAGACTACAGTAAAATCCCGCCACCCTCCCATTGCGTAATCGAAAGGCCGTGGAAAGAAATTACCTACGCATTTCCAAAGCGAGTTCACCTGTAATACGCCAGCTCGCTAGTCGACCTCCGCCCAGATTTTTTTTACAGGAAATGGTTTCCGCACACTTTTAATAATACACGCGCTTCAGTTTGAATATAATATCGAGGCTGGTCACAGAGCACGAAGTTACTGAGTACACAGATAGGTGCGTAGACAGCAAAATGTTGCGCTGAGCTGGAGATACTGTGAGTGGAAAGGAAGTTCCAATTCACCAAACCCCCGTTTTAAAACCCAAATTAGTGGTGGAGATAGTGTGGCGCTGTGACGGGGTTTGGGCGAACGAACAGTGCATGAGCTGATCATAGAATTATGCACAAGTCTGCCGTCGATTCATCCCTCTAAAGTCCAGATTTTCTCGTAAGTTCCCCGTTCTCAAACCACTTCAACGTGAGACACCAGATTTCAACCCATGCAAGAAAACAGATACAATTAAAGTAGGATTATAGGTTCTCACATTGAGCACAAATATGGCTGCCTTACTGGTCATAGCGCCGTGTGGTCTGGTAGAAGATTATCAGAGTTTCAGAACTTCTTGTAGTGCCCACGGCTCTACAACCCAGAGGAGAGCTATCTAGATGCACGTATAGTTTCGATCTTTTTAAATTTTTGCTTTTTAAGTTTGGGCTCCCGAACTAATGCTCATCTGGGGCTATTTTTGTTGGTACCACTGTCAAGTTCTAGTTTTGATTGGTTTGGTAGACCTGGAGAGGGTAGTGAAGTAGTTGATATGAGGTAATGTGCCAGGATGGTGGGTGGTGTCACTGCGCAAGATTGCATCAAAGTACACATGAACAGTAAGTGAAATTAACGCTGAATTTCGAGTCTAAACTGTGGTATTCTGCTGGTCAGACAGGACGATAAAAGATTCTGAACATGGTAGCAAGCATTCCACGAATTTGGTATCCTCTTAATTTCCTCTTGAATGGAGTTGATATTTGTTAACATTGTTCATAAATATATCAACCGTCAATTGTCAATGGATTTATCAAGTTCCGTTGCGTATTTATTTTTCCCAGCAGTTTAATGACATTTCCGTTGGGATGTTTCTCTGATGTTTTGTAGAATTTTACCTACGTTTCAGGGTGCTTAGTGACGACTTTGTTTTTCTTTGTAGTATCTTGGTCAGTCACATAAATTTAAAAGAAGTTTAAGAAAAATTAGTGGACCTTAATATCACCAAATTGTATAGAACTTTGTATGCAAAGAGTATAATCCCTTTAGAATTAGCATATGCACATTAAGAGTCCTGTTAATTATCTTCAAAGGTATATTTATTTCCTGAATCATAATATAAGAAGCATAAGATGTATTTTAAGTCAAATATTACCACAAAATTTCACAGTATTTGTAAGCTAGCCAATAGTTGGGGTGTATAATGTCACATGTCTCAGGACTCTTAGACAGATGCAAGTATGAGCCTGTAAACTTTTCCATGAAAAGGAGGACTCTTGACAGTATTAATACTAAAATTGCAGTTTCAGCCATTTCTCAGATAATTGAGGTGAAATAAGATGCTCTTTTTTATATTGCAAAGAATGACAATTTCCATACTTCAATTACTCAGGTCTCACAGCACTTGTAATTTACACCAAAGATGTAATGACATATGATAAATAATGTGCTCAGAATTCAGAATTGCTCTCATACTCTATTCTGAAATATAATGTATGTGCGTATCAGTCTTGTTTTGTGGGACACAAGAAAAATCCTGATCCAGGCAATAATTCACAAAAGAAATTTAAATTTCGTAGGATAGGTTGTGGCCTCGAATATTCAAAACAGGCAGCAGCAATTTTGCCAGATGAGAAGAAGTGTCACCAGGGCACACAAAATTCATCAGACATGAAATTTGTTTCTGTTAAACAGTTTAATCAACTCAAATAGTTTCATTGGTGTATTATTTTAGTAATGTTTTAAAATACTTCCTGCCCAACTAATCATGAAGATTATTCAGTTGTAAATAATTGATAGAAGGTCAAATTGGATTGATGTTTTTCTCCAATATGTGATTGAATATGTCAAAATCTGTTGATTCCCAATAATTTCATCTATGTGTGGCATTGACAGAACAATTCTGGTTAAAATTGTGTATGTAGTTTATAACAGTAATAACCCTTGATGATAACAACAGTCGGTTTTACCACTCTTCTTTGTAAATAGATACAATAATCTAGTAATTCACTTCTCTAGTACTGCTTGCCTATTCAGAATATAATTAAAAAGTTTGTTACTCTCAGAATGTAATGAATTACCACCTGCTTGGATAATTTCTATTGGAATTTGAATATTACCTGATTTAAAGTTTTCAACACTAATTGCAACCTCAGAAAAGCTATGCAGGTAGCATTCGATTTGCGCCGATTCAGAATAACGCCGATTTCGAAACCAGCAAGACAAAAAGTGAACAAAATATATTTTACTATTATTTATAACGTTTTACAATGTATCTCGTATTGATTCTTATACTAAATCGTAATTCTTACATAATCGGTAAAATCTGTTTGTGAAATGCGAACTTTTGCATATGCAAGTTTGCTGTTATGCAATTTCATTTCTGGCGCTTAAAACTTTCAAAGGACTAATTTAATCTCTGCGGAGGTACCGGGGTTATTTTTACTACACGATTTTCTATAGGTCGGCGTCTTACATGAATGCAGCTATCGCATAACAGCAGAGATGATTGTACACATCAATCACATGAAAGAATCGCAGTCAATCGCGAGGACCAACGAATTGCCGATTGTAAGTGTATAGTTTTTAAATTCCCTTAATTTTATTTACGTTATTTCAGAGCTTTAAACGTGATGCCATTATATTACTCGTCAATGTTTGGGTGCTAGGAATGCATGTGATTGACTTCCGATTGATTTACGTTATAAAAGAGTTTCAATTTACGCCGATTCCAATTACGCCGGTTCGTCCAGGAACGCATCCCCGGCGTAAATCGAGGGCTACCTGTACTTGGATACCGATGGGTCATCTGTATATATTTCAGTGTACCTAACATCAATAACTGCATCGACATTCAGTAGTTGACGAAAGTAATTCTTGGGAATCTGAAAGCATATTACCATTTTAATCTTTTACCTAATTACTTCTAGGATGTTAACCCTTCTTAAATCTATGCATTCCTCTGTACATGTCTCTTTTATTTTACTCTGTGTTTTAAGCTCATAAATTATTTCTTTCAGATGTTTCCTTCTTTTGTTCCTAAAAGTTCTACTAGCATTATCCATATTATTTACATTCATCATACCACCGTTTATGGTGGTGTAACTCGTAATGACTTACGGTTTCTACGAAATTTGTGTATTCTCTCTGATATTTTCCCATGCGCTATTGTTGTTCACATTGTTATCCAAGTTTTCCATTGCTTAAAATTTTGCCCTTATAATGTTCCTTAACGTCTGCAACTTTGAGATTCTTGATATCATCTTTGCATATCAAGTGTTTGCTTAGTGATAGCCTCTGCCGAAGTAGTTCTGAAGCCACCAGAGGTCAGTATTGTCGGACATCTTTCTTTGCTATGATAGGGCGAGACTGTTTCTATGTGGAAATGCGGCCACTGGTCCTTTGTCAATCCTTTAAATGATACGCGAGTGAATATGGAGCGACGGTGGAGTGATATTGATGGGGAAAAACCGAAGGACTCTGAGAAAGACCTGCCCCAGTGAAACTGACACCAAATATGCTTTACTTCGGTCTGGTTGTATGTTTCCATCAGGAGGATCCCAAGTGTATTTACGAATTTTGTGATATGGGAACTTTGTACTCTTGATAATTATATCATTTTATGTGGCAAACTGTACTACACTAACCCCATTATCGTTATTATTTTCGTGTGAGCTGTCAGCCTCACTCTTAATAGCTTACCTTCCTGCCTCCACATTGAACTCCCCCCAAAAATTTCATGTACTACTTAGGAAATTGACTGAATAGACGCTCTAGTTCCTCATGAAAGCTGCCCTTTTATATCATCACACTTATCCTCAATTCGCGCATGCACATTTAGAGCAATAATATCACACCCTAAGCAGTGATCAGCATTTCAATTTTCATATGAGAGTGTATAATTGTCTGCTGAGTTCGTGCTCAGCACATGTCTAAGGTTCCTCGCCATTAGATGGCTGTTCCCTCAGTTTCATTACAGTGCGATATGAGCAGGTACGTACCTGGCAATGACGGGAATTTGACGCTGAGTTTCGATTCCTCGGTTCGCCCAGTCATACGGACTTCACCTTCAATCATGGAACGTATACCCGTCCTGCGAACACACATCGGAGGATCGTACAAGGATATACTTGCAGTCCGACACAGAAAACCACACTGAGAGCATTGAACCCATGTCCCTGTTCTGAATTCACCTGAATTTGAGGGCATTTGAGAACAAAGTATAGCTGTAAAGCATTTCGAACAAAAAACAATTAGTAACAAAGGACAAGAAAAATTACACAATTAAAAATTACGTAAAAGTACTGGTAACTGATAAAATCAAATGAAGGCGGAGGATAAGATGAACATGACAGGGCACGTAGAGCGTTCGAGGGGAATGAGAAACATATGCGATGTTAGACAGTTGAATAACTGGACTGATGTGTTGCTACATCAGCTGACAAAGCAGCATAGATGGCGCGTATTGGAATATGCGACTACGATATTCTGCAGTCTTATGTTAAAAAGGTAGTTGGGATTCTGTTAGTTGCATGATTACAGCAAGTTTCTTTGGCGGAGTACTTGCCTAGTATATAACATGGTTTATTAATAGATGCAACGGAAAGTAGGCATTAAATTTTTAGAGGAGCAAGAGGAGACTTCGTCTCCCGTTCAAAAAATGTTAAAAGGAGAGGGAACAGTGAGGAAAATATAAGCTAATTAGAAGATGAATCGCCCTGATGATGGAGGCAGTATGACCTCTGAAACGTTGGTAAACATGTACCAGACTACACAGCGCAAAAACCCAGAAGAGAGAAATCTTCATACTCTGATGATGGAGGCAGTATGGCCTCTGAAACGTTGGTAAACATCGACCAGACTACACAGCGCAACAACTCAGAAGACAGAAATCTTCATGCTCTGATGATGGAGGCAGTATGACTTCTGAAACGTTGGTAAACATCTACCAGACTACACAGCGCAACAACTCAGAAGACAGAAATCTTCATGCTCTGATGATGGAGGCAGTATGACTTCTGAAACGTTGGTAAACATCTACCAGACTACACAGCGCAACAACTCAGAAGACAGAAATCTTCATGCTCTGATGATGGAGGCAGTATGACTTCTGAAACGTTGGTAAACATCTACCAGACTACACAGCGCAACAACTCAGAAGACAGAAATCTTCATGCTCTGATGATGGAGGCAGTATGACTTCTGAAACGTTGGTAAACATCTACCAGACTACACAGCGCAACAACTCAGAAGACAGAAATCTTCATGCTCTGATGATGGAGGCAGTATGACTTCTGAAACGTTGGTAAACATCTACCAGACTACACAGCGCAACAACTCAGAAGACAGAAATCTTCATGCTCTGATGATGGAGGCAGTATGACTTCTGAAACGTTGGTAAACATCTACCAGACTACACAGCGCAACAACTCAGAAGACAGAAATCTTCATGCTCTGATGATGGAGGCAGTATGACTTCTGAAACGTTGGTAAACATCTACCAGACTACACAGCGCAACAACTCAGAAGACAGAAATCTTCATGCTCTGATGATGGAGGCAGTATGACTTCTGAAACGTTGGTAAACATCTACCAGACTACACAGCGCAACAACTCAGAAGACAGAAATCTTCATGCTCTGATGATGGAGGCAGTATGACTTCTGAAACGTTGGTAAACATCTACCAGACTACACAGCGCAACAACTCAGAAGACAGAAATCTTCATGCTCTGATGATGGAGGCAGTATGACTTCTGAAACGTTGGTAAACATCTACCAGACTACACAGCGCAACAACTCAGAAGACAGAAATCTTCATGCTCTGATGATGGAGGCAGTATGACTTCTGAAACGTTGGTAAACATCTACCAGACTACACAGCGCAACAACTCAGAAGACAGAAATCTTCATGCTCTGATGATGGAGGCAGTATGACTTCTGAAACGTTGGTAAACATCTACCAGACTACACAGCGCAACAACTCAGAAGACAGAAATCTTCATGCTCTGATGATGGAGGCAGTATGACTTCTGAAACGTTGGTAAACATCTACCAGACTACACAGCGCAACAACTCAGAAGACAGAAATCTTCATGCTCTGATGATGGAGGCAGTATGACTTCTGAAACGTTGGTAAACATCTACCAGACTACACAGCGCAACAACTCAGAAGACAGAAATCTTCATGCTCTGATGATGGAGGCAGTATGACTTCTGAAACGTTGGTAAACATCTACCAGACTACACAGCGCAACAACTCAGAAGACAGAAATCTTCATGCTCTGATGATGGAGGCAGTATGACTTCTGAAACGTTGGTAAACATCTACCAGACTACACAGCGCAACAACTCAGAAGACAGAAATCTTCATGCTCTGATGATGGAGGCAGTATGACTTCTGAAACGTTGGTAAACATCTACCAGACTACACAGCGCAACAACTCAGAAGACAGAAATCTTCATGCTCTGATGATGGAGGCAGTATGACTTCTGAAACGTTGGTAAACATCTACCAGACTACACAGCGCAACAACTCAGAAGACAGAAATCTTCATGCTCTGATGATGGAGGCAGTATGACTTCTGAAACGTTGGTAAACATCTACCAGACTACACAGCGCAACAACTCAGAAGACAGAAATCTTCATGCTCTGATGATGGAGGCAGTATGACTTCTGAAACGTTGGTAAACATCTACCAGACTACACAGCGCAACAACTCAGAAGACAGAAATCTTCATGCTCTGATGATGGAGGCAGTATGACTTCTGAAACGTTGGTAAACATCTACCAGACTACACAGCGCAACAACTCAGAAGACAGAAATCTTCATGCTCTGATGATGGAGGCAGTATGACTTCTGAAACGTTGGTAAACATCTACCAGACTACACAGCGCAACAACTCAGAAGACAGAAATCTTCATGCTCTGATGATGGAGGCAGTATGACTTCTGAAACGTTGGTAAACATCTACCAGACTACACAGCGCAACAACTCAGAAGACAGAAATCTTCATGCTCTGATGATGGAGGCAGTATGACTTCTGAAACGTTGGTAAACATCTACCAGACTACACAGCGCAACAACTCAGAAGACAGAAATCTTCATACTCACCGCTGTGAAAACCTCAAATCATACACAGAATCTAACTACTTCAGGATGGGTGGGAAGATGTTACAGACGACTAAAGTTCTGGCCGCCCGACAACTCTGGGAAATTATCGTCGATCGATAAAAAATAACAAAGTAGAACGTGAATAAAGGTAACGACGATATCGGTTTTGTCGAAATATGTAAGTGTGTAGCAAAATGACGAGAGATGTCAGGGACTAAAAGGAAACGAGGAAAGACTAAATCTACTAAAAATTTTCAGCAAAACAGAATGTCTGATCTTCTAGTAAAACATTAACTTGTGATGGGAAATCGGTCTTCCAGTTCCTTCCGCAGTCCCCAATGGAATTCTCTGGAGACTCAGAGACCGAAACGTTAGCTGCCGGTTGCAGATTTCTTCCTCTAAACAACCGGCCAAGAAACCCAACACCCCTTCAAGAAAGAAAATTCTGGCAAGGCTTGTTTGTGTTTGATCATGACATTGCGCCATCTCAGACATTTCGGTAGGATAATTTTAGTACAAGAAGGAGTTAACAACTTCCAGGGTTCAAAAATCCGCTGTCATTGCTCGATTTGTTTGATTTGTTCCGTATGACATTTAATGTTCCTGAAATTAAAAATGTATTTGCAGTTATATAATTTTAAATTATTTTAGGGAATTTCAAGCTATAAGGCAAAAATGTTTCCAGCAGTGTTTCCGGGCATGGCATAATTCAGATACGTTTTAATGCAGGAAGCGAGTATTTTAAAGAGACACTCAGCAACGTTTACTAACTGTACAAGGAATCAGTACAATTATGTGTCACCAGTAGTAGATTTTCTCCGAAACCTCAAGATAAAAATATAATTGGTAAACCTAGTCGTAGACGGGAGAAAACTGTAACATTTGATTTTAAATATACGAGATTATAAGGATGTGGATTATATTAAATCGGTTGAATGTATTGTATAGCTGCGGTCTTACGGCGTTTAACATACACCTTTACCAGCTGAGCTAATATCAGCTTGTCAACTTCTAGGCTGTATCATGGACTACTTTAATTGACGAAGATCTGGCTGAGACAGCCGGTGGACTTTCTGTTCGAAGGATGCATCATTCCGTCGTAAATGTGTATCTTCACCAAGAAACAAGGATAAACTTCCGTGACCACAACGGAATTCGAACTGTCGATAATAATGTTGGCGATAGTTGAGGCCGTGTGAACAAACGCATCTAGGCCTGTTACGTCGGCCATCTTGCTATCATTGACCTAACCTAGTTAGAAATTGTGTAAATTCGCATGTGAGTCGAGCAGTTGAATCAACGCCTGCAAACTTTGAATTCTAGCACACGCGTTACAGACGTGGCGGAGAAGTTGCCGCAGTGGAAGGCGAGTCAAATTATACTGCGATACGAGCATAAACTGTGGCGTATTACGAGTTCGTAAAAAAAAGTTTTACATTAGTTGTCTTAAGTTAAAATTGTTTTATCTTTACGCAGTCTTTTGTCTGTTAATTCATTTTGTTTACTCAAAGTACTGAATCAAACGTGAAGTTAAGTTCTGTGTATCTCTTGCCTGCACGCATTCAAACGGACATGACATATCAGAACACACAACAAGTGGTTAGCGTCATCCTCCGGCCGACTTTACACCTGCAGTAGGAACCAGAATTCTGGGTGCTTTTCCAGTCAATTGTAATTATTGTTACTTCGTGATTTAACTAGGCGTTTTCATCCGCAAAGATTATATCGCTTCAGGTGGAATGATGATTATGAATGATAAATTGGGAAGGATGTCTTAAGAAGAAGTGCTGAGAGCTTCAGGGTTTAGGCTGTCGGCATGCGACCATGAGACTACGCGGCACAACAAATTTACATCGCCATGAGAACCTGGAATTCTATACTCAGATCGGTCTCTGGCCTGTTACTACTGTACGTGGCCAAGGGTAAGTGGCAAAACGCAGCTGCATGTTGTAGTAATAGGCTGTGATGCAAGCTTATGGCAGAATAAATTAGCGATTCAGACCTCGGCCGGGGTTCTGCGTAACGTAACTTAGGTTCTGTCATGTGACGTCGTATGAATCTTTATTTTTATATTAATGACGACGAATGGGGCAACCCGGTACGGTTTCATTACTGTGCTAGTAAGCTAAACGGAAATAAAATTAACTCCCGAAACGTCGTATATATCGAATGTATTTCAGATAATGGGCAGGACCCAGTACGGTATCAGTATAATGAAATTCTATTTCGATTTTATTCAGTTTCTTCCTATTAATTTTCAAGGACGTTTCCTAGCACGCTCTGGCAAGGAACGTCCTAAGTCAGAGTCGGTTCATCTTCGTGGCAAAAGAACCTTCCTTCAAGATCCCCGTCTACACGGTTTTTCTCATCACCTTGTATCTCTTCCGTGAGCTGATAAATCTTTAAGTAGCTAACCTATAAAAGTAAATTGTTTTGTGTTTAAAATTACTTCTCATTTTTGCATTCTCATTAGGTAAGTCGCGTTTCGGTGACATCTTTCCGTTATGTACCGACCTCACAGTACGACCACCTGCATGTTAGTGTTTATGGGGTAGGCGAACAATGCAGACGTGTTTCCGATGACAGGTCCGTAGACTATTGAGAGAGTACCCGACTGTTTTTCCAGTCCGTGAATTTAAACCTGTTCAGGATGACAACGGATGGCTGGCGGAGTACTTACAGGTAGCTCATCTGTCGGTTCACGATGCTGATGCGTCCATCCCCCGCGTCCGTGTAGTTGGCAGCCACGCACTTGCCGGCGAACTCGAACAGCGCGAAGTATCGCTCCGCCTCGTACCACTGACCCAGGTACTGCAACAGAGCGAGCAAGCACGCACCGTTACCAGGATGCTGGCTGACTGGGCTGGGCGACCAGGGTTCGAATACTGGTAGAGCCCTACTGTCTCTCTAACGGGTTCCGGAACAAAGCAGCAGGAAAGTGAAACAAATCATTGGCCAAGGTTTTTGAATGCGTGAAGTCTAATTTTTCGTTTCTCCAACCACAACGTGATGTCTGAACGCTGTTTTCTATTCTACTTGGCGTTCTTTCTGTTAAGAAAATACACTTCAGGTGTGAACGAAGTAAACCAAAGCCCTTGAAGCCCGCAAACATATCCCACTTTTCTTACTTACCTTCTGTAAGTTGAAATTTCGCATGGTCTCGATGTCTGGACACGGACCGAGCGCGGGAACCTGGGCCTGTGTCATTGCCACAACCACCACAAGGAGCGCTGCTACAGCTGTTTCACCGCCTACCATCTTGTGGCAACAAAAATTTACAAGTTCTATAAATACTGTTTCAGAGCGCGCCGGAAATGTCTCCCGTTAGCGTAAGCGCACACCCCCGTTATTTTTAAGGCACTGTTTACGTTTCCATAAATGAGTTTCGTGTGGAAAGCCTTGCACTGGAATCAGTAGACAATGTGCAGATTGTTGAAAGTCTGGGAAGTCGATGGAGTGTTGCGAAAGAAAAGGAGGGCTTGGAAACCCTTGTCACAGGCGTTGAGAAGACGACAGGGCGGAAATAGAATAAAGCCAGCTAGGAAATAAGTAAATTAAACCAAGAGAATGAATTAGCAAGTGTAACATTTGAGTTTCTGAGAAAACAACAAAACGGGATTTGCCACGGTCTCGATGGAACAAGTGAATCGGTCGTCCCCGAAACCTGTCAGACGGGCCTCTTGTCACGAGGACTTGGGTAATCGCACATCCACGAACTATTCGTGACGCTGTGACGCTCTTGACAGAGCTGGAAGCATTGGACAGAAATTTACCAGAATGAGAGCGGACGTCATAGACTTTTGGTAATTCCGAGGACAACGATGAACGCCTATGCTGTCCACGGCGCTCTTCGCGTGAACTGGGACGGAAGACCTAGTCCGAGGCCGTGAGACATTTCTCACCCATCTGCGTTCACTTGTCCACATGATGAATTACGGGTAAATTAACTGATTCTCAATTTTTTGGAAGTCTGGAATGCTTTTACGTGTTCCGGACATATTACTTTAAGACGGAGTGTGGTTATTCTAAAGCAGGTCGTGTTGGACAGAAAAGCTATGATGATAGAAGCTGTCGTAGCCTTATAGAGGTTTTAGTTTGGCATGTACATGTTCTTATGCTTTCTCTCACCTTAACATAACAGGTAATCAAAAGAAGAAATTCTCTTTCCCAACTGTTTTAAAGGCGCAATAGAAATATCACTGCTCTGTCAAAATATATTGTTGTTCTGATACTTTATTGCTCAAGTGATATCTGCCTACTACATTCTGTCAGTTTTCAGACAACCGTTATCACTAATGAACAAAACTTTTCGTCATGGGTAATTCTTAAAGTAGTTCGGTCCTGCTCTCTTACAGTAAATATGCACCCACCGTTAGTCGAACGCGCAAGGTGGGCTAAAGCAACGTTTACAACCATAAAATGTGGCGCGTATCTTGTGAATGTTAACCAATATGACGCTCCAAATCGTTTTAGCTACGAAGAGTAGCAACAACTGATGTTTCATTCGTTGAAGAAACAAGAACACTGATTCGAAATGACTCTGGATGAAAGTTTCGCTTACATCGCTTGTCGTCTTACCTGGAACAGCGTAGAGTACGTATAATTTATGTGTGGGCGGATTTTAGTTTCATTGTTCGAAACAGACTGCATTTTCATTTGATCGGCGAGATCGTGCGTGGTAATTTTAGAGGAGTGCTTTGTATTTAAGAGGGGGGGGGGGGGG